TTCTAATAAATCAGCCACTGGAAACAGGGTGGAGGGTCACACTGGAACGTCTTGGATAGAGTAGGAGAAACATGTAAAATACAACTCAAAATCATAAAAAGACTAGGCTTACCAGTGGATAGAGTCAGGTGGAACACTGAGACTATGGCCCTTAGTCACCCTTCAGGTCTGGAAACGAGCTTACTCCCCTAGCTGTTTTCAGTCAAACAGTTGTTGTTGTTGTTAAGTGCCGTCGTGTCAATTCTGACCCATAGAGAACCCTGTATAGGGTTTCCAAAGAGCAGCTGGTGAGCTTGAACCACCAATTTTGCTGTCTGATGCATTAGCCCACAGCACCACACCAGGACTCCAGTCAAACAATAAAGAGGTCTCTAAGGGGAACTATAATACTAATGAAATATTCACCCCTTGGGATAATCAACCAATCAAGAAAAAAGGTGGGGTGCAGCATTTACTCAAGGACTAAGTTCAGAAAGGCTAGGAGAGGAGGAGGAATGGAAACAGAAAGCTCAGGGAGGAAGTGGGATACATGCTGTTACGTTGTAGGGATTGCAGTCATGGAGATGAAACACAGTGTGCATGAATCATTGAATGGAAAGCAGATCTGCTCTGTCAACCTTCACCCGATTCACAATAAAGCATAAAAAGGGTAAAAAAAAAAAAAAAAAAAAGAGAGAGAGAGAGAGAACCCTAGGAAGCAGAGTTGTACTCTAACACACATGGGATTGCCATGCGTCAGTCAACTCAACTGCAAGGAACTGGTTTTGTGTTGTTGTTTTCGCCACTCTCTGATGCTAAGCTCTTTGTGTTTTCTCCCTGCCAGGCAGGAGGCGTGTACCAGCATCCATTGACTTTGTATCTCCCTCCCACAGGCTCCTTGGCTATGAAGGTGTGCAGGAAGGATTCCTTAGCCATCAAGCTCAGCAACAGGCCCTCCAAGCGCGAGTTGGAAGAAAAGAACATCCTCCCCAGGCAGACGGATGAGGAGAGGCTGGAGCTGAGGCAGCAGATAGGCACCAAGCTTACCAGGTAGGACGGTAGCAGTAAGCCGCCCCCACTGACAGCAGAGCCAGCAGCTCTACAGAGTTTAAAACAATTCCACCTTCAGCCCCAAATCATCCGGGGCCGTTTGTGTGTTCATTTTAAGAACTCAATTGTATTATATTGCAAAATAAATTTCCAGGGGATGGAAACTATGGCAAAAGGTAACAGGATAAGCTGTATTGTTGTTTAGTGCTATCAAGTCAGTTCTGACTCACAGCGACCCTGTATAGGGTTTCTGAGGAGCGGCTGGTAAGTTTGAACGACCGACCTTGCTGTCTAGTGCTTATCCTACAGCACCACACCAAGTCTCTTAGGATACAAGAATCAGCAAAAGAGCTCAAAACAGAAGCAGTGATTATATTGGGTTTGTTGTTGTTATGTTCCATTGAGTCAGTTCTGACTCATAGTTCCTCTGTGTAGGGTTTCCAAGGAGCAGCTGGTGGGTTTGAATCAACACCCTTGTGGTTCAAACTAACCTTGAGTTCGAGTGTTTATCTTGCGGTGTCACACCAGAACTCCATATTGGGTTTGGTGGTGGTGGTGGTGATTGTGTGCTGTGGAGTCGGTTCCGACTCGTAGCTAACTGTATCAGGTTTCCAAGACTGTGAATCTTTACTGGAACAGAAAGCCTCATCTTTCTCCCATGGAATGGCTGGTAGTTTCAAACTGCTGACCCTGAGGTTAGCAGCCTGACTGGTAACCACTCCTCTCAAAATCTTTGATGGGAAAGACTAATTGTAGTTGACAGGTATTTACATAGATGCTGCTAGAGTCTGCCTGTGGTGCTAAATTGCAGGTTACCCCCTGACCAGTCCAGAGTACTTACTTTGCAGATCAAGTCTACAACTGGTCACTTGCCTTGCCATCAGCCTCTCAACTAACTGTTCGTGAGATTCAGTGGGTTCTTCACAGTATGACAAACTGACAGGCTGGCGGTACATTCCATTATGGGGTTACTGAGATTCAGTGCCTTATAGATGCACCCGCTGGGTCTTCTTGAACAGCTAACTGCAAGCAAAGCCAACAGAGAACGGTCCACTTCTCCATGGTTAGTTCTCTAGTCCTCTCACCTTTACTCGTCCAAATCTTAGAAACCTCATCTGATTCATGGCTCAGGAATTAGCTGGGAGGCAGGTAAATAAATACCTATAGAGAAAATTGCCATTGTACTATAGAATTGAAAACCTACATACATATGAATTACAGTTTGGTTAAGTACAAACTGGATTTACAGCCTCGGAAATCCTAGGGAGTTACGAGTCAGAATTGACTCGTAGCAGTGGGTTCGTTTTGTTGTTGTTGTTATATTGGACTTATATCCAATAAATCTCTAGTCTGACCTGCATTTGAGGTTGTGGCCCAGCAGCTAAAACTGAGTCAGCATCCTCTTTGACCACTGGGAAGAATCCACTGTAGGTATGGTCATGGGAGCATCTCCTCTAACAGCAGACAAAGAAGAGACCTTCATCACTGACACATCTGGCCAAGAAAAAGAACAACACAAGGAGAAACCCTTCTCCGAAACCTAGTAGCCGTGCTTCCAGCCACTTTCAATGCAGAGACGTTTGTAATTATATGTGAAGCTGGTCTGCACCAGCTCAGGTAGATGCTGCAAAATTCCAGCTACCCATGACTGTAAAAAAAATGATGACAGTTTACCCCCGAGTGGTAGGGTAGTATTTTAAGGGTGAAAAGATATTTTACGGGGACCAAGTCCTAACAACAACAACAAGTGTGTCAGGGAGGTAAATTGCCTGAATTCTCATTTTACTCCTGAGCTTAATTTAGATTACAAACTCCTACATTACACTGTGAGGCACCTTCAGTTTGATCTTTCTTCCCAGGTTCTTCACCCTCAATCTGTTCCCAAAATGGCTGACTAAAATCCACTGCTCTACCACCAGCTCCAGGAACATGGCAGGTTAATACAGCCAATCCGTCTTGTTTATGAGCTCTGAGAAACCTTACCCCAGGCCCATGTTAAACACCCTTCATGCCCTCTTGCTTCAGGCACAGTCTCTTTGACTGGGCTTGAGATTTCAGGGGCCTTGTCGCAAGGACACAAATTCCTAAGGACCTATCAACTTGAAAAGAGTGAACAAGATTGTTCATTGCCTTGAATATGCCTAGCCCTTCCTACTTTCATCTTTCTCTCGTCAGCATGGCTTCTTCTACCCATCATGATGACAGGGGCAAGGAATGGACACATAGTAGGGCAAGTATTCAGTGGATTTCAGGAATTCTGTGCAGTGTGTAGTTCCATGGCAAAATATGTGCCCTCTGTGTTAAAGATCCAGGTTCAATTCAAGTTTCATTCCCGGCCAGTGTGCCTCATGTGAAGTTACTACCATCTGTCAGTGGAGACTTCCCTGTTGCTATGATGCTGAATAGATTTCAGCTGAGCTTCCAGATTAAGATAGACTAGGAAGAAAGACCTGGCCACCTATTTAGAAAATGAGCCAATGAAAACCCAATGGATCACAACAGTCTAATGTGCAACTGACCACAGGGACGGTGCCGGTCTGGTTGGTGTTTTGTTCCATCCTGTGTGGGGTCACTATGAGTTGAGGACCGACGAGTGTACCTAACAACAACAATAACAAAAAATGTCTGCATTATGTATCCAAACGCTTAGCACACTACCTGGTACTAAGTAAGTACTTGCCATGATTATAGAATGGCAACATACTATTGAGGTCAGGAAGGAGAGTTCTGGAACCAGTCTGTATGACATTAGGCAGGTAACACTATGCTTAGTATTCTTACCTGCAAAATGGGGTGTACAAAGATTAAATGATTTAATAGATGTAAAATGTTCAGAGGAATGCTTTACCTACAGTTAAGTGCTGAACAAATGTTAGATGCTATCATATAAACATACCCAAGATTACAAATGCATACCTTGGTGTTTAAATATATAAACATGCTATGCATACATAAAGGAGTGTTACTGGAGACTACTAAGGCACCATTAACTCTGACTAATCCCTCCGCTGTCTGGCAGTTAAAACAACTTTGCAGTCTGACACATTAGCCCACAGTGCCACATTATTTGTCTTTTTATTGTTAAATTGTAGACGTTTATATATATTTTGGGTATTAGACCCTTATCAGGCATATCATCCCTAAAGATTTTTTTCCCAGTCTGTAGGTTGTGTTTTCAGTCTTGATGAGCATAAGTATTTCATTTTTGTCTTCCATTGCTCATGTATTCATAATTCTATCTGATCATCTATCATCTAAATAATGTTTTCTTCCAAGAGCTTTATGGCTTCAGCATTAACATCTAGGCTCCTTGATCCATCCTGAATTAGTTTCTTTTGTATAGTGTATGGTGTGGATCCAGCTTCATTCTTCAGCATGTGGAAATCTAATTTTACCAGCACCATTTGTTGAAAAGACTGCTTTCTCCCCCTGAATGGATTTAGTACCTTTGTCAAAAATAAGGTTAAAATAAGATAAGAAGTATGGTTTTCTTTATAGGCTCTAAATTCTGTTTCATGGGTCCATGTGTTTCTCATTAAACCAGAACCCACACTGTTTTGATTCTTGTAGCTCTATAATATGTTTTGAAGTCAGGAAATACAATAAAGTTTTGGGTCAGTGTTCATTTCTATGAGTCGTGATTGGAGTTGCATTGAATCTGTAGGTTACCTGGGGTAGTAGTGACAGTTTCACAAGGCTAGGTCTTCCCATCAGTGGGCATGGAATGCTTTTTCCATTTGTTTAGGTCTGGTTTGGTCTCTTGCATCAGTGTTTTGTCATTTTTATTGTATGAATCTTTTGCATCTCTGGATAGGTTTATTCTTAGGTATATGATAGACATGATTGTTTCACAACCTTGTGAATGTAATTATTGCCACTGAATTTGAACTGATGAAAATGTTTTAGAAACGGTGGTGATGTTTGCACAACACTGTGAATGTAAACATCGTTGAACTGTACACATTAAAAAATGGTTAAAGTAGTACATTTTATGTTTTATATATATACATATAAGTTTGTTGTTGTTATGTGTCCTTGAGTTAGTTCTGACCCATAGAAACCCTGTATAGAATTTCTGAGGAACAGCTGGTGAGCTTAAGCCATCCACCTAGCAACCCTGTACAGGGTTTCTGGGTCTGTATATCATTACGGGAGCAGAAAGCCTCATCTTTCTCCCACAGAACAGCTGCTAGTTTCGAACTGCTGACCTTGTGGTTCGCAGCCTGATTCATAACCACTACGCTACCAGAACTCCTTATATATGTGTATAGTACCACAATCATAAAAAATTGTGAGCAGGGAGTGTTGGGATTGGGATGAGCTGGAAAGCCTTTAGCCTGTCTTAAAGGGGAAAATCAGTATTCAGCTTCAGCCCTCTGTTGTTTGTAGACATGGTAGACTGATTTGAATTGGTCAGATAAGAAGAAAGATTTGGTGGCATAGTGAGTTACATGTTGGCTAACCACAAGGTCAGAAGTTTGAATCCACCAACTACTCTGCAGAAAAAAGAGAAGGCTTTCTGTTTCTGTAACGATTTACAGCCTCGGAAGCCCTACATCGAGTTGCAATGAATTGGCACTGACTCTAGCAGTGGTGGGTAATGAAAACATTCTGAATTTGTTTTAAATGAAAAGTTTCAAAGCTTTAAAACCTCTTACACAGCAAGCAAAACATATTTACATACTGAATTCAGGCCAAGACCTACATTTCGGCCATGGACTAGCATGTTTCAATGTGTGAACTGGACGTTGTAGATCCTCCTTATAGTCTGGTCATAAATTCTGTGTGAGTGCACTACACTTTTGATGAGATAATGAGACAAATAGTCGATGGGAATATAACTTTGAGGGCATGAGCTCATGTTTCTCTGTAGCAATTTGGAATTAATGTCTGTTGGCTCCAAATTAGTTTGAGCCTAGCTATTTATTTGTGTGGCTGATCATTATTCCTAAAAAGAATATTAGTTCCGGCTCTCCCTGGTTTGGGGGACTTAGTCAGAA